TCTGCCTCAGCCTCCTGAGTAGCTGGAATTACAGGCACGCGCCACCATGCCCAGGTAATTTTTTGTATTTTTAGTAGAGATGGGATTTCACCATGTTGACCAGGATGGTCTCGATCTCTTGACGTCATGATCCACCCGTCTTGGCCTCCCAAAGTTTTGGGATTACAGGCGTGAGCCACCGCGCCTGGCCTCTTTCAATTTTGATGATAGGGTGTCGATTTTAGATCTTTCTTTGCTTCTCATGTGGGCATGTATTGCCATAAATTTTCCTCTAGACAGTGCTTTAAATGTATCCCAGAGATTCTGGTACATTGTGTCTTTATTCTCTTTGGTTTCAAAGAACATCTTTTATTTCTGCCTTCATTTCATTGTTTATCCAGTCGGTTTATCTAGTCGACTTTCAAGAGCCAGTTGTTCAGTTTCTATGAGGTTGTGCAGTTCTGAGTTAGTTTATGAATTCTGAGTTCTAATTTGATTGCACTGTGATCTGAGAGACTGTTATGATTTCCATTCTTTTGCATTTGCTGAGTTATTTACTTCTGATTGTGTAGGTGTGATGTGGTGCTAAGAAGAATGTATATTCTGTGGATTTGGGGTGGAGAGTTCTGTAAATGTCTGTTAGATTTGCTTGGTCCAGGTCTAAGTTCAAGTTCTGGATATCCTTGTTAATTTTCTGTCTCGTTGACCTAATATTGACAGTGGAGTGTTAAAGTCTCCCACTATAATTTGTGGGAGTCTAAGTCTCTTTGTAGGTCATTAAGATCTTGCTTTATGTATCTAGGTGCTCCTGTATTGGATGTGTATATATTTAGGATCATTAGTTCTTCTTGTTTTATTGATCCTTTTACCAATATGTAATGCCCTTCTTTGTCTCTTTTGATCTTTGTTGGTTTAAAGTCCATTTTATCAGAGACTAGGATTGCAACTCCTGCTTTTTTTTTTTTTTTCTCCATTTTTTTGGTAAATCTTTCTCCATCCCTTTATTTTGAGCCTGTGTGTATCCTTGCATGTGAGATGGGTTACCTGAATCCAGCACACCCATGGGTTTTGACGTTTTATCCAATTTTCCAGTCTGTATCTTTTGTTTAAGGCATTTAGCCCATTTACATTTAAGGTTAATATTGTTATGTGTGAATTTGATCCTGCCATTTTGATGCTAGCTTGTTGTTTTGCCCATTAGTTGATGCAGTTTCTTCATTGTGTCAGTGCTCTTTACCATTTGGTACATTTTTGGATTACCTGGTAATGATTGTTCCTTTCTATGTTTAGTGCTTCTTTCAGGCGCTTTTGTAAAGCAGACCTGGTGGTGAGGAAATCTCTGAGCAATTGCTTGTTTGTAAAGGATTTTACTTTTCCTTCGCTTATGAAGCTTAGTTTGGCTGGATATGAAATTCTGGGTTGAAAGTTCCTTCCTTTAAGGATGTTGAATATTGGCCCCCACTCTCTTCTGGCTTGTAGGGTTTCTGTTGAGAGATCAGCTGTGAGTCTGATGGGCTTCCCTTTGTGGGTAACCCAACCTTTCTCTCTGGCTGCTCTTAGCATTTTTTCCTTCATTTCAACCCTGGTGAATCTGACGATTATGTGCCTTGGGGGTTGCTCTTCTTGAGGAATATCTATGTGGTGTTCTCTGTATTTTCTGGATTTCAATATTGGCCTGGCTTGCTAGGTTGGGGAAGTTCTCCTGGATAATATCCTGAAGAGTATTTTCCAGCTTGGATTCATTCTCTCCGTCACATCCAGGTATACCTATCAAATGTAGATTAAGTCTTTTCATATAATCCCATATTTCTTGGAGGCTTTGTTCATTTCTTTTTACTTTTTTTTCTCTAATCTTGCCTTCTCGTCTTATTTCATTGAGTTGGTCTTCAGTCTGTCATATCCTTTCTTCTGTGTGGTCAGTCTTGAAACTTGTGTATGCTTCGTGAAGTTCTCGTGTTGTGTTTTTCAGCTCCATCAATTCATTTATATTCCTCCCTAAGCTGTATATTTTCATTAGCATTTCGTCAAACCTTTTTTCAAGGTTCTTAGTTTCTTTGCATTGGGTTAGAACATGTTTTTTTAGTTCAGAGAAATTTGTTATTACCCACCTTCTGAAGCCTGTTTCTGTCAATTCATCAGACTCATTCTGCATCCAGCCTTGTTCCCTTGCTGGTGAGGAGTTGTGATCCACTGGAGGAGGAGAGACATTCTGGTTTTGGGTGTTTTCATCCTTTTTGCACTGGTTTCTTCCCATCTTTGTGGATTTATCTACCTGTGGTCTTTGTAGTTGGTGGCTTTCAGATGGGGTTTATGGACATCCTTTTTGTTGATGATGAAGTTATTTCTGTTTCTTAGTTTGTTTTCTAACAGTCAGACCCCTCTGCTGTAGGACTGCTGGAGGTCCATTCCAGATTCTGCTTTCCTGGGGATCACCTGCAGCGGCTGCAGAACAGTGAGAGTCTGCCAGTTTCTTCTTCTGTTATTTTGGCCTAGAAGGATACCCACCAGATGTTAGCCGGAGGTCTCCTTTATGAGGTGTCTCTGGATATACGGGGGTTGGGGAGCTGCTTGAGGAGACAGTCTGTCCCTTATAGGAATTCAAGTGCTGAGCTGTTCTTTTCAGAGCTGCTGCAGTGGAACTCATAACTGCCTTTTTTCCCCAGGTGCTCTGTCCTGGGAAGGTGAGGCTTTATTTATAAGTTCCTGTTGTGCTTTTTCCTTTTTTCAGAGATGTCTTGCCCAGCAAGGAGGTAGCCTAGTCACAGTCTGCCAGCAGATGTGTTGCTGAGCTGCCATGGGCTCTGCCCAGCTGCTGTGTGAACTTCCTTGCAGTTTTGTTTATAGGGGTATAGTTAGGACATCCTTGGTAATGGTGTTGTGCCTCCATATTGGCAGACTATCTCTGTAATGGAGGACTGCCTCGGTAGTGGCGAACTGCCTCAGTAGTGGCAGACACCCTTCCCCCCACAGAGCTGGACCATTTGGGTCCAGCTGTGCTTGCTGTGAAACTTTCAATCCAGAGCATTTCAGATTGCTGGTCTTTGTGGGTTGGGACCCTCGCCGAGCTGGATCACCTGGCTCCCTGTTTCAGCACCCCCCTTTTCTTAGCTGAACAGCTGACTCTGTCTCCCAGGTGTTCCAGTTGCAAGTTGAAACGGTGCCCAGATTTGTGTGAGTTTTTGTGCAGAGACCCGCTGCACCAGCTGAAACAGTCGCGCTTGAGACTCATGGTGTTTTTTTGCCCAGGAACCTGCTGGTCTATGGGCAGTAAAAATTCGTTCAGAAATGCGGTGATCACCTGCCCTCTGTGTTTTTGCTGTGAACTGCAATTCAGAGCTGTTCCTATTCAGTCATCCTGGATTGTCCTGAGTCCTTGGTTTTCATGGGCTTTAGAGGGGAGGAGGTGCATGCCAGTTGTTCCATGGGCAGGCCCAGAAAAAGCACCATAAGTTCTCACTCCTGTCCTCGGAACTGGCAGCCCTTCAAGCCATTCCTGGCTTAAAGGTAGGGCTTCACCAGTGACCTACCCCTTTCTGCCCGGGAGCCCGTCTGCCATCACTCTGCCATCTGTGGTGCCTGTGGTACTCAGGCTGTTCATGTCAAGGGGTACCTGCAGACCCACTGTGCGCTGCCCTCAGCCCTCCTGCCCCCTGCAACTTCCGTCCTGTGCTCATTTGTGCCTGGTGTCTGCAGGAGGTAGAGGTGGCAGGGGCTGGCATGTCAGCGCTGCCCAAACTGTGTGCACACCTGGCTGGGTCACGATCGTGCCTCGGCTCAGCCTCGACTTTGCTCTGAAATTGGAGCAGGGACCAGGAGTGGGGAGAGGCCAGGCAGTGGGAGCAGGCACTTCTGAGCTTGTAGGGGCAGGGGGAGTTCCCAGGTCCCCAAGTGCACAAGGGTGCCTGAGTCCACAGTTGTGTCTGGGTGGCTGCAGCTGTGCCTATGAAGGTGGGGCCCCCACCCCTACAACTCAGAAGGGAGTGGGACTTCTGCCTGTTCCCCATTCCCACCACTTTGGGAGAGCAAGCATCCTCAGCTGCTCCTCCCCCGCTGTAGCTGGCATCATGGCAGCAGCCACTCAAGATGGGATGCCACTGCCATCAAAAGCACATCTACTCAATCACTTGGGGAGATGCAGCATAATTTAAAATATTTTTATCTGAAATCACATGTCACTATATCATCAAATAGAATGTAAACTTATAATGACTTTATAGGTAAAACATAGAAACCTCAAAAAATGTTACATATATGGTAGCTTTGAGTACTGTTCCTAGGCCCCAGGAAACAAGCTCTTTTTTTTTTTTTTTTCTCCCTTGTTCTTAGAGGTAAAATATTAGGATCTAGGTCAAGCTTCTGTAGTAGCCAAACATACAATGGCTCAAATAAGGTAGAATTTTATTTTTTCATGTCAATTGTTCATGTTAGGAAAGTGAGCTCTGCCCTTGGTGTCATCCAGGGACCCAAGCTGGCTGGAAAACTAAGCTGTCCTTCCAGGGTTGTTCCATACATTCTTATTTTCAGCAGGTGAGAAAAATAGTGATGATAGTGGTAGTTATATTAGGGGAACATGCAGGTCAAGAATTTGATTTTAAGGACAGGAAGCAGAAGTTGTACTTGATGCTTTTGTTCATATCCCATTGGCCTCAACCTAGTCATGTGGTCACAAGTAGCTGCAGAAGAAACAGGAAATGTCCCCCATTTGGTGGCTATGTAGGCTGCCAAAATTTGAATAAGGGATTTCTATTATTAAAGACGGAAATACTTACTGGTGGACAAGAGTAATCTTTGGTGTTTACTTAGTGGAAAATTTTTAGAAGAACTCTCTGAGTGGTCTTAATCATTGTGAGTGATTTTATTCTGTAGTTAACTGTCTTTATTCTTGCCGTACTCTTTGGCCTGTTATATTATAAATGAGTGACATGACCTTCATGGTCCAGTCTTAGCATGAGTATAAAACTGATTTGTGTATAACTAATTGGACTGCTTCAAGTAACAACCTGTTTGTTTGTATTTTCTAGGGTTTTCAGAGTCCACGGGGAATGGGATGCAAGCCAGAAGCTGTATGTAGTCATATTATTATTCAGAGCCATGAAAAAGGATGTTTCCGGACTCTTTCTGAACAACCACAACTAGATAGCCACCCTTGTGTTTTCAGATCTGCTGAACCCTCAGAAATGACCAGAGGACGGCAGAGCCCATCATCATGCAGAGCCAGGCACGTCAATCTTTCTGCACCCTTAGACCAGAACAACTCCCATTTCAAAGTTTGGAATTCCTTGCAGTTAAAAAGTCATTCCCCATTTCAAAACTTTATACCTGATGAATTCAAAATCAGCAAAGGTCTTCGAATGCCATTCCGTGAAAAGATGGACCCTTGGCTGTCAGAATTAGTAGAACCTGCTTTTGTACCACCTAAAGAAGTGGATTTTCATTCTTCATCACAAATGCCATCCCCAGAACCCATGAAAAATGTTACTACCTCCATTACTTTTTCATCTCACCGACATTCTAAAGGCATTTCCGATTCCTCTGTTGTTAAGGTTGGTGTCACTGAAGGTAGCCAGTGTACTGGAGCATCTGTCGGGATATTTAATTCCCATTTCACTGAAGACCAAAATCCTTCTAGAGATCTTAAGCAGAAAACCTCTTCCCCTTCATCATTTAAAATGCATAGTAATTCACCAGATAAAGAAGTGACTATTGTAGCAGAAGGTAGAAGGCAAAACCAAAAATTATCTGTTGATTTTGAGCATTCTCTTCAAGAAGAAAAACCCTTAGAAAGATCAGATTTTACAGGCAGTCATTGTGAGCCTAGTACCACTGCAGATTCTAGCAATGTCAAGGAAATTCAAATTTCTGATAACCATACCCTTATTAGTAGGGGTAGACCAAGTTCCACCCTAGGAGTAAGCAGATCGAGTTCCAGACTAGGAGTAAAAGAGAAGAATGTAACTATAACTCCAGATCTTCCTTCTTGCATTTTTCTTGAACAACGAGAGCTCTTTGAACAAAGCAAAGCCCCACATGCAGATCACCATGTGAGGAAACACCAGTCTCCTTCTCCTCAACATCAGGATTATGTAGCTCCAGACCTTCCTTCTTGCATTTTTCTTGAACAACGAGAACTCTTTGAACAATGCAAAGTCCCACATGTAGATCATCAAATGAGAGAAAAACATTCTCCCCTTCCTCAAGGTCAGGATTCTGTAGCTTCAGACCTTCCTTCTCCCATTTCTCTTGAACAATGTCAAAGCAAAGTGCCAGGTGTAGATGACCAAATGAGAAAACACCATTTCCCCCTTCCTCAAGGTCAGGACTGTGTAGTAGAAAAGAATGATCAACATAAGCCTAAGTCACACATTTCTACTATAAATGTTGAAGCCAAGTTCAATGATGTCTCCCAGTCAGCCCCAAATCACTATACATTAACAACATCTGCATCTACTCCTCCTTCAAATAGAAAAGCACTTTCTTGTGTTCGTATAACTCTTTGTCCCAAGACTTCTTCCAAGTTGAATAGTGGAACTTTAGATAAAAGATTTTATTCATTGGATGCTGCTTCTAAAGCAAGGATAAATAGTGAGTTTAACTTTGACTTACCTACTGTATCTTCGAGATCACTGGAGCCAACCTCCAAATTACTGACCAGTAAACCTGTAGCACAGGATCAAGAATCTTTAGGTTTTCTAGGACCTAAATCTTCACTGGATTTCCAAGTCATACAGCCTTCTCTTCCAGACAGTAACACTATTACTCAGGACTTGAAAACCATGCCTTCTCAAAATAGCCAGATAGTAACCTCAAGGCAAATACAAGTGAACATTTCAGATTTCGAAGGACATTCCAATCCAGAGGGGACTCCGGTATCCACAGATCGGTGAGTCTCATTATGATAAAAAGCAAGCTGGATGGACTTCGTGATAAAGGGTTTCAAATACTTAAGCAGATAGTGGTTCTTGGAGGAAGGGCTGTGTGATTTCTCTGAGTGGAGGTTGTGTCTGACTAATTACTAGAATTCTTTCAAGGAATAAATATGTTAAGTAAAAGAACGTATGACAGTAACACGTTTATACTTTCAGAGGGTTTTTGGCAAGACTTGACATCAAGTGTTTTAAAAAATTGAATGACTTTGCAAAAATCTTTGATCATCCAGTGATACAATTACTAGTTTCTTATTTACTGTGTTGGACATATGCTGAAGGTCTCCTTTGGAGGTTGCACCCATGTTTGTGGGGGCTTGCTCACTCGCTCTCTTCCTCTCTCTCTTCTCTCTCTCTCTCTCTCTCTCTCTCTCGTCCCCTCTCTTTCTCTCTTCTCCAGCTCTGGGTTCCATTTCATGACTTCCCTCAAATTTAGCATTTACGAAGAAAGTAGCTTTGCAGTGGAAAATCCTGGCAGATACCACTTTAGTCAAATGATGATTACCATCACCAGTAAAACATAATGTGCTCCCTGATATGATGCCCCACTTCATAGTGTATTGTAGGAAAGGAAACCCAATTCAGGGATAAGTCCATTAGATTTATATTATTCAGCCTAATTTTAGCACTTTGCCATTAATTCAGTTTGACTTTAATTGAGCCTTTTACAGTATGGTGAAACAGAACTACTTGTGTGTTTAATATTTTACCTTATAGTTGAAGAGGCATCATACCAAAGTGGAGAGCACGGGGCTTGGAAAGGAGGAAGAGAGAAATGTTTATTCATCATCCACATGTGGTTGTAGTCCTGGCAGTGAGTCATGGCAATGAGAAACTTACATTTGTTGTCTTACTTCCCATGATGATCCTATTAAGCAGGTGATGAGATCTCTTATTTTCCTACTGGGAAATGGAGATACTGCTGTGCCAAATGATACTGTTTGTAGGTAGGATAAAAAGCATTCAAATGCAGTCTGTTTAATCAAAGCAAGGTCTCGTTCCCCTACACAGTACTCTGTCCTAGAATTTGACCCCTACTTCCAACTCTTCTTCCAGCCACAATGCTGGACAACTTATTTAATATCTTTGGCACTCAAATGTAGAAGGAAAGGGGTAGAATGCTTAAAAATCCCTTACAGCTCTAAAAGTTAGGGATTGAGATAGTAGACTGGGAAAAAAAAACAAGATAAATCTCTGATTTCAGTGTTATAAATAGTAGAGTGCTATAGAGATGAGTACTGATATCTTTAAAAAATTTTTTTCTTTGAGACAGTCTAGCTCTGTCACCCAGGCCAGAGTGCAGGGTGTGATCTCTGTTCACTGCAACCTCCTCCCCGTGGGTTCAAGCTATCCTTCTGCCTCAGCCTCTCGAATAGCTGGGACCAACTCTTAAAAGGTTAAATGCCTAATTACTGTAACTGCATACCTTAAAAATCAGATAAAGCTATGAATGAGAAGAAAATAATACATGATTACACATGTATATTTATGTATACATATATGTACTATATATGTATATATATTTAATATATGTATAATATACTATAGTATATATACTATATATACATTATACATAATATAGTATATATACTATATATACATCATATAATCTATATATTATACATAATATAAATATACATATATATTATGAAATATGCATAATATATAATGTATATATAATATATTTAAATATATTACAATGTAGTATATATAATTATATATAATTATTTTATATATACAATTATGTATGATATATATTACAATATATAATCTGTAGATTATATATATTATGTATATATCATATATAATATATAGATTATGTATATATACATATATAATATATATAACATACATTGTAAACTAATTAATGTATATATACACATAGTACTAAAATATATTATGTACATAATATAAAATATATATGTATATTTATACATATTTATATTTGTATATTTATATGTATTTATATATTATATATGTATATATATTTACATATAAATATGTCTTATGTATATATGTTATGTATATGTAAATATATAATATCCATATGTGTATATATTATATAGTATATGTACATAATGTATACATATATATGTATACATACTATATAATATGTATATATACATATATATCATATAATGTATATATACATATATATGTATGCTATACATAAGTGATTATTACACTAAGTATAAAATGATGTAAGCATCCACTACAAATGTACATTCTGAACAAATGGCATTATTGTTCATTTAACGATATATATGTATATATATAAAATATACATTCTGTATAATATATACTACGTATATTTGTTTATATTCATATATATGTGTATCTATGGTATATATATGTATACTATATATACATTAGTATATTTGTATTTATACTATACACTGTATATACATGTATATATAGTATACATATATAGTTTACATATTTATATACTATATATGCTGTATATATATATACTGTATATATACAGCATATATAGTGTGTATATAATATATATGTGTACTATATATATGTTATATACATATATACATATATAACGTATATACGTATATACATTATATACGTATATACGTATATATGGCAGATATATTGTATATATTGTAGACATGTATATGTAGTATACTTGTATATATAGCATACACTATATATAGTATACATGTATATACTATATATACATGTACATATGTATATATGCAAATACATAGTATATATTATGTAATGTATATATAGTATATACATTATATGTATACATGTATATTAGAGAACTAATGATAATGCCATTTGTTCGGTATGTACATTTGTACTGGATGCTTATTTTATTTTATACTTAGTGTAATAATCAGATATTATTACCTCAGTTTTGGATTTTAAAAACCTGAGACTTAGAGAAAATGTTTTGCCCAAGATCACATGGGGCTATTGAGCATTGGAAGTGACATTTGAACCTAGGTTTGTTGAACTCCACAGTCCATAAATAATTCAAACTACACACACACACACACACACACACACACACACACACACACAGAGATGCATAAAACATATATATAAGTATATATGTATAAAATACTTATAAAATATACATATAAAATATAAACTATATATGTATAAAAGCTATTTTAATGTTTTCATTTATTTTGAGATCATTTTAGACTTACAGAGGAGTTGTAGAAATAGCACAGAGAGTTCCTGTATTAATTATGTAGTGCTATGTATTATGTTACCCTGAAATGTAGCAACTTAATAAACATCTGAAAATGTATGTAGGTCAAAAATCTACATGTAGCTCTTTTGGGTACTTCTGTCTTAAGTTCTCTCACAGAGCTTTCCCGAGAGGATGTGCTTCAACACATGGCCATGGCTTTGGCCAGAGACATGGGCTTTTTGCTTCTGTAAGGCACTCATAATTTATGACACCTAGTGAAGTGAGGGAGCAGGAGAGGGTGCCCAAGGCAAAAGCCACAGTCTTCTTGTAGCCTACCCTTGGTTCTAACATCTCATCACCTCTGCCACATTCTCTTCAATAGAAATAAGTCACTGTCTGCAGCTCTCACCCAAGGGTTGGGAGTTACACAAGGTCCTGAATACCAGGAGGTAGATGTCATTGGGGGCTATCTTAGAGTTTGCCCATGTAACCTTTACTGAAGCTTTCATTTATGTTAATATCTAACCATAACATCATAACCATAAAATACGGTTTTTTATCAAAATAAAAAACAATTCTTGGTGTAAAATAAAACTATATAGTCTAACATTGATTTCACCAGGTTTTTCCACAAATGAACCTTTTTTTGTTTCAGATCCACCCCAGGATTCCATCTTGCATTTTAGTTGTCATGTCTTAGGCTCCTCCAATCTATGACAGTTTCCCAGTCTTTCCTTGTCTTTCATGACCATGAAACTTTGAAGCGTGCTAATCAGTTATTTTCAAGAAGCTTCTTCAATTCAGCATTGTTTGATGTTTCAAGTTTAGACTAGCGTTATGCATTCTCAGTACGTCACACTGGAGAGCACATTATGTTGATGTACGTTGCTGGTGATGTTAACCTTGCTTACTTGGCTAAAGTGGTATCTGCTGGGATTCTCCACTGTAAAGTTACTGTTTTTCCTTTGGAGATACTAAACATTCGAGGGATATTTTGATAGACTACACAAATAACCTGTTTAAACATTGACCAGTAATTTTAGCATTCATGAGTGGATCTTGGCTATTAGCAGTTATTACTCAGGTGTTTTAATTCTTTTATGTCTTTCATCTCTTCCACATTTGTTAATTGGAATTATTCTGTAAGGAGAATTGTTCTTCCCTCATTTATTCCACCGTAGGTTATTTATTTATATTAGTGCAGAGTCATGAGTGTTTATTTCATCCTTTGGATTATAACTATATTACAAATGAATCACCTACTCATCCTTCAGCATGAGTACGTGATTCATTTGTAATATAGCTATATATTATAATATTATAATATATTACTATTACTTTTTTGTTGCTCAAATTCTTGTTTTAGCTATTTAGAGCACTTTCAGGTTGGCTTCTGTACCGTGCCCCAGACCCAGAATCAACTGTTTCATTAAAAAACTCTCTGTTTTTTGTTTTGTTTTGTTTTGGTTTTTTTTGAGGCAGTGTTTTGCTCTGTCTCCCAGGCTGGAGTTCAGTGGTGCCATCTCTGCTCACTACAGCTTCCACCTTCTGGGTTCAAATGATTCTCCTGCCTCAGCCTCCTGAGAAGCTAGGATTACAGGTGTGTGCCTGTTAAAAAACCCTCTGTTTTTTGTTTTGTTTTGTTTTGTTTTGAGGCAGTGTTTTGCTCTGTCTCCCAGGCTGGAGTTCAGTGGTGTGATCTCTGCTCACTGCAGCCTCCACCTCCTGAGTTCAAGTGATTCTCCTGCCTCAGCCTCCTGAGAAGCTAGGATTACAGGTGTGTGCCACCACACCCAG